TATTCACGTGAGCTTCAAGTCAGGCCGCTCAGGAAGTTGCAGATGTTGCTCAAAAGCATTCGCATTGGCTTGAACCTTGAGGACATTGCGTCACAAGGAACTCTGTTGGCTGCAACCCCAGGTGCGACCACTCCGAGGCCTAACGTGTTCACTCCTCCTCTTCCAGCGCCTGCAAGAGTTGAACAAGTTCATAATCCTGCAGAGGAGCAAGTTGTTGAACAGGCGGTTGAGCTTGTAAACGTTGAAGAAGAAGGCGAAAGCATAAAAGAAGAGATTGAAAACATCACAAATCTTGAAGCTTTTGCCTGCGACTTGAACCTTTTTGGTGAAGAAGCTGTTCGACAAGGCGCAGTGCCAATCGACAGTTCAAGCGGAAGTGACGAAGAGTCTGAAAGCAGTTCATCTTCAAGTGACGAACTGAGCTCATGCCGTGGCAAAGATTCTTTTAGAGAAGTCGCGCCGGCAGGTTCTGTGTACTACAAGCGCGTGAAGACCTCAAGGGTCCATCATGTGCGTGTTGGCAAAGAGACCACAAATTGTGGTAAGAAGCTGAATGAGAACTTTAAGGAGCTTGAGCCGGTCATTTACATAAGGCTTCCAAAATGCCTGATTTGTTTCCCAAGTGCCGAAGGGCGAGTTAGGACGCGTGAAGACGCCAAAGCTCGTTTCGACGCAGCTCTGAAGAGGGCGCGCGTTTGACTTGCGACCGAAGTGATCAAAAACAGCTTGTGCAGAGTGCCAAGTTTGGTGAAGTATCATTTTATGCTTAAGAGCAGACTTCCTTTATGCTTAAGAGCAGTTACCAGAAAGCTGGTTTTGTACATGGAATGCCATGTGCATTTGAGACTTGTTTTCAGTTTCATGGGAAGCCATGCACTGTTCCCCATGAAAGCCATGCGTGAACTTTGGCTCGAAGGAGCACAAGAGACATATTGAGTTAATGGCCGGAAATTTTCCTTTCAGTGCTTGTTCAGCTGCTCATGTTCTTCATGTCAATCTCTTTTTGTTTTGGTTTTTGCACTTTCAACCTCGCGCGATGTCGAGTGTCGTTGACAGTGAGGCACACTTTGACCTTCATTTGAGTGAGCTTGGATTGAGTGATCCTTTCATAAATGCACTGAAGAATGGTGGGATCAGGACCTTATCTCATTTGGCCTTTTCCATAGGCCAACCCAATCAGGTGCTTTCCAACGATGATGTCACCAATTTTCTTCAGGGCCTCCTCGGGCGCGCTCCGTCGCTCGTTGAGAGTAGCAGTACAAAGAGGCTCACTTTTGAAGCGCAGACATATGTTGTGGCTACTCTCCGACAAGGGCTTGAGCAGCAAGATGAGGCTGTACCAAGGAGAGTGGCCCATGCAGAGAGGACCACAAGGATGAGTGCACTTCAGTTGGCGTTGTCCGGAGTCTCAATTTCTGGAGAACTTGACCCTGCACACATTCTTCTTGACAAAGCAACTGCCATGTATGAACAGAACATTGTTAAATACATTGAGCCTTCAGCTTGCATCAGCAGGGCTTTTGAGGTGCAGGGCAAAAAGGAGTCTCGCGAGTTGAGTCTTGAGAAGGGCTCATTAGTTCTCAAAGCAGGGAGTGAAAAGTTGACCTCCCCAACTGATACAGAGCTCAAAGTGCACTACGCTATGCAGAGGAGGGCACTCGCATTTCAGTTTGCGAATCTCATGAGCTATGCCCAACACAATGAGCGGTTCAGTTTTCTAGTTGACGCTCTTCATCGTGAGGCTCCACCGGAATTTCAGCGTCCAAGTCTTGCTCAACTTCTGCAATGCGACAGGGCAGCATGGACTCGACTAGCAAGCAGTCTTTCAACGATCCGTCAACGGCTGATGGAACATATCCTGTAGGAGAAGCACTGCTCAACCTTCGTGCTGATCCAAACATTGTCCTCTACTTGTCGCCAGTTGCAAAGCCGATTTCAGTTGCATCGGTTCAACTGGACTTGAGAAACTTGGAGCACAGGAATTTGGTCGCAGAGTGGATGCAATCTCCATTGTTTTGCTGGCTGCATGTGGCGCCTGTTTGCGGGACTGCAAGCAGAGCGCGTGAAATCCAACGGCATTGGTCTGACCCCAAGCCTCTCAGGTCGAATGACTTTCCGCATGGCCTGCCTGACCTGTCGGAGAAGGATATGACCCGAGTCGATATTGCCAATGATTTAGTCGCATACAGTTGCAAGCTCTTTCAGGACGCAGCTGCTTGCAATATTTTCGTTACAATGGAGAACCCTTCGAATTCATATTTCTGGCTTACAGATTGGTTCACTCGCCTTAGGCAGAGTGTGGCTTTGACCATAACTGATTTTCAAGCTTGCATGTACGGCGGAAAGAGACCCAATTGGTCGAGACTTGTTGGGAACTTTGACGAACTCTCTCAGATCAACGCCAGGTGTGACAATTCGCATCAACATGATCCTTGGCGATTTGCCAAAGCTGATGACGGCTCCCGTGTTTGGGCAACAAGTTTGGAGTCAAAGTATCCAAAACAGTTGTGCGTTGCCATAGTACAATGCATCCTACAAGCTCTACATCGTCAAGGCGCTGTTTTGCTGCCAGCTCAACTACAAGAAATTCACTCACACCCTTTGCATGCTGCTCACAATGCGCAGATTGCTGTGGGAAACCAGCCCAGGGGTGACAAACTACCACAGATTGTTCCGGATTTTTCTTCAGCAGCAACATTTGCAGTGGCATCTTTGAGTGACATCCCTTGCAGTCTATTGAGCAAGCTTTCCAAAGATGTTGCCGCCTTCACTTTGGAGGGCGCTCCAGTTACCGTTCCTTGCCACTCGTTTTTTTTGCGCTCATTCCCCCTCTCGACTCTTTCCAAGGGGGGTACTTCCGAGGATCTTGAGGGGGCCAAGAAGAGAAAAATTTCAGCAGGTGTGGGAGTCGTTTTTGGACTTCCCTGGGACTGCGAATCTTTTATACAACATGCGTGCAATTCTGGACATCCTATGGCCAATGCACTGGCCCTGTCGGACGACCTGGAGATTGCAATGGCTAAACAACTGGAACTCACTGAAGAGCAAATGGCGAACTACAGGATGTCCTGGTGCAGGAAATGGCTCAAAAGAGCTTCTCAACTGGCAGAGCAAGAAGCAGCTGATCGTCTGAAGCGACCGGAACACGTCAGACAAAATACAGAAGCCAAACGCTTGCTACTCACTGAAGAGATCTTGCAAGACATTTCTTATGAAGACATGGGTGTGTTGGACATCCTTCGGCACGGGTCGACTTTGGTTGGGGATGTTCACAAGTGTTCGCTGTTCAAAGCACAGTACAAACCTTGCATGGCCACAGTTGAACAATTGGTTGCAGGTTCGGCCAAGAGGAATCAGGCAATAGTGAAGATGGCTGCATCGTGTGGCGAGTTAGAACTGGACCAGAAGCTCCTAGAGGAGACGCGTCTTGAGCTGAGCAAAGGTTGGGCAGAAGGTCCATTCGAGCTCTCCCAATTGGAACAGGGTTCGGTGATTTCAAGAAGGTTTCCACTTCGTCAAGGTTCCAAGATCCGTATGATTGATGACTACTCTGTCAGTGGGGTCAACGAGTGCACCTCCACCCATCACAAAATCGATTTGCGCATGGTCAACACCTTTGCAGCTCTCATGAAAGAACTTTTTCGGCGCTGCGAGCATTTTGGATCTCATTTAGAGTTCCTCGCAAAGACCTATGACCTGAAGAGCGCCTACCGTCAAGTTCCGATCCGAGGTGAGCGTTTGAAGTTTGCTTACTTCTGCATATACAACCATGAGCTTGATAAATCGGAGATCTACAGAATGAAGACTTTGCCTTTTGGCGCAACGCACAGCGTTTACAACTTCCTCCGATTGGCTCGTTCCCTACATAGCATTGCGTGTAGAGGTCTTTTTCTGCTGAATACGAATTTCTACGACGACTTCATTTTGGTTTCAAAGGAAGCAAATCAGAAGTCGGCACAACATGGTATGGAAATGATTTTTCTTTTGACTGGCTGGGAATTTTGCTCGAGACGGCAAAAAAGCAACCGACTTCGCCAGGATTTGTCATGCCCTCGGAGTAGAGTTTGACCTCAGTCTTGCTCGCGACCGTATCCTGTCCATTGGTAACAGAAGCACGAAAGCAGGAGTTGATCGAGCACATCGATCGAATGCTAGTCAACGGTTGCATGTCGAAGCATGAATCCCTCGTCCTTCGAGGGAGGTTAGGGTTTGCTGACAGCTTTGTTCACGGAAGGTTGGGCGAGATGGTTCTGAACAGGATTGTTGAACACGCCTATGGCACAGAAGCTCGCATTGGCAAGCCTCTCGAGAGCGCGCTGACCTGGATGCGCCACCGACTTCTCACCTGCAAGCCCAAGAGAATAGACTCGACTGATCTGCAGCAAGTCTTTGTTTACACTGATGCGGCTTTTGAACCAGAAACCTCCACCGGAGGCTTGGGCGCTGTACTGGTGAGTGAAGCTGGCATTTGCGTTGCTTGGTTTGGTATCTTCCTTGATTCCAACTTGTGTGAAGTGTTTGGATCCTCTCGGAAAGACACGATCATTTATGAGCTGGAGCTTTTGAGTGCAGTCTTTGTTCTCAGATTCTGGAAGAACTTTGCTTTTGGAAACCTGACGGTGCACTTTGGAGACAATGATGCAGTGCGTTTCGCGCTCATCAAAGGAAGCGCGCAAGGAGAGATTGGAAATGCTTTGATTTATTTGCAGCTCGAACTTGAGTCTGAACTCGGTTCGCATCTTTGGTTCGCTAGAGTCCCGACTGAATGTAATCTCAGTGACCACCCCTCTCGCTTTTCAGTGCATCCGCTCCTTAAGGACGAACAGTGTTGCACTGCAGAAGCTGGCAAAGAGTTCTTTGAGTTTTTGCACACCTTTCGTCAGACGATAAGGGCCAAACAATTTTAAATGGGGCAAGGAGTGCTTGGACCCCAGACTTTTGTAGAAAAGGTGTGCGCAGCTTTGAGTCTTACTTCATGCCATCAAACGATTCGAGACATCTAAGTCCAGGCGCAAAAAGGCACGCTTTTCGCCGTGCTTGTCCAAGGTTATTTTTTTGAGGGGACTAAATTCAGAAACGGCTTATTAAGTCTTGATATTCTCAGGGGTGGTCTTTCGTTTTGTGCCTTGTTGTCCCTGTGCTTCTTGGCAGGGTGGGGAGGGGTCCGAGTGGCCATGACGCGACGTATTGTACTGGCCGTCCGCGAGGGGGCTTTGCTCCAAACAGGATTTGCTTGGACATTTTGTTTCAACTTGTGCACTGAAGGGTTCATTTTCATTGTTTTTTTGTGCGGGTATGATGTATGATTTTTTTTGTCCGCTTTGCTGTTTCAAAGTTCGTGTTTGTGTCTGACACAACCACGCAGACCTTGTGGAGATTGGGCGTGCAAGCTGTGTGTGCTCAACCAAACTGGTAACCAAACTGTAACTATGCTGATTGAATGTTGAGTTTGGCATGCGCAAGTACAGTAGTTTTTCAATAATGAGGTTTGTGGGTTTGTGATTCCAATGCGGTTCCACGGCAGAGCCTGCAAAGACATGACAGCACTGTGATCATTTTGTGTGAACGATCAGCCCGATGTGGTGCCATCCCTATGGGAAAAAGGAGGCTCCGCACCTTGAACTTATGTGCTGTGGCAGTCTTTGAACTTGTTCAGGAAATCAAAACTGGAGAAGGATGGTCACATCTTGACCTTTGACCCCGCAAGCAGGTGTCCAGATGGTTCTCTTCAATTTCTGTTTTGGCACATGGAGTCATGACGTCCTTTATTCTTCCCAGGCATGCATTTGTCACAGGCTTTAAGCGGCGGAAACAGGACCCAGTGTTGGAAAGTGCATGATTTGAAAATTTTTGCATGGGATTGCACTGGGTGGCCGTTGGTCCGCTACCTTCTCGTGTACACCAAAACTTTACAAGCGTCGAGACAGTTGTGCAGTCTTAGTCTTGAGGTTGAATTTATAAAGCAGTCTCGGCGTGTTTACTAGTTTTTTGATTTCACAGGAAAGGAGAAAATGGGCAGTTCGAGAAATCCTGGAGAAGGAACGGCAGGACTGTGGTTTGTCACAGAAATTCTGGTATGGTTCAAGTGCTTTCGAGGGGATCAATTCCCTTCTTAAGGATCGCATCGAAGCCAAAAAGGACTACAGGCAAGACGTGAAGAAGAAGTGGAAGGCTCATCAAGTGTCATCCGTATTGAGAAAACAGGTGTTTAGTCAATGAAAAGCAGGACTTGCAACGTGCTGAAAAGCGAGTTGAAGCGTTGCTGGGCCCAGCAGAAGAGGCAGAACAGTTTTCTTCTGTTTTGTCAGCCTTATCACAGTGAGAGGTACCGGTACTAGCATTTTTTGTAGATGTTCGACAAGCTGTACAAACGAAAGTGTGACGGAAGCGCCGAGAATAGCAAAGCACCATCCAGCCCACCGCTGGGGGCCGGAAAAGCACAGCACAGTAATCAATAACATTTACTGCGGTATTCACTGAAACCAACTTGAAACGTGGTTTAGGGTCAGCATGAACAATATTCGACATGAACACGGGAACTTTTCAGCTTCATTTGTACAGCACTTTGTACCAAGGATCAAGAAGAATTTGTTTTATTAGGTTGGAGGCCATCGCTAGTAGGTGGAGGCCATCGCTGTTAGGTGGAAGGCCTAAAGAAAGAGTTTCTTGAAAAGGTTGAAGAATGCCTTTGGAACTCGCTTGGTCCGGTGAGGTGCATTGGCTCGGCGACTCGAAGACCGAAAGACTCCAGGATGAGGCCTGCACGGGGACATCTGCAGGGGCACCACGATGAGGACGACACATGCATTCCATGGACATTCTGTGTGCATTACTATCAGGTTGGAGCAATGGTATATAGTAGGTTGGAGGCCATCTCTTCTAGGTTGGAGTGTCACACTCAGTGGGATTGGCATTCGATGCACGAGGTGCCTGTAACTGTGGCCTTCGAAGCTGAGGACAGTGACTGTGTTTTCTGTTCTGTTCCGATTCTCTGTGTTTTTTGTTCTCTTTTGGTGAAAGGAGGACGATCCATTCGGGAACTGTGAAGTCACCACCACAGTTGGAGGAGCGTAGAACTTACGAGCAACACGTTGCACGTTTGTTCAGTCAAGGATACATTTCAGATGTTACATGAGCTGCTGAGGTCTCCGATGGTGCCGGTGGGCATTTCTCTGAGACATGCCATTTCTGGAAGACGATCCATTCCACCGTGCGAATGAAAACCAGAGATGACATGTTGCATGCCAAATACATTGTTACAATTTTTTTTGGAACTGTTCTCAGTGTTGTCACTTTTCGTTTTCTTTTGCATTTGGACTCTGAGTCACTTACCCCTGGCCCTCATCGGCAAGAGTGGCAACGTCCTTTCGCTGCTTGGAGGTGCAAAGCTGTGCATAGCCGTTCTTGGAGCGCTGAAACTACTTTGGCTGAGGGGAAGCAGGTCGACTAAGGGATTTGACAGGAATGAAGGCCGTGGCTTCTGCATCAACATCTTTTCAATCGCTTGGTAGTTTCATGATCAAACTTAGTGTCCAGCTTGTTGTCTTGTCTTTCTTTTTCTCACTTGTTCTTTAGCACTGCGCGTTTGTTCAGGAAGAGGATCCTGACGAAAAGGCCAGAAGGCGCGATCGAATTTAATGTGTCCGCAACAACCAAGGGACATCAAGTGAGTACGAGCTGGACACTTAGTACGACGGACCATGTTGGATGATAAATCGATCAAATCATGGGCGTCCAGGCGACAAGAGTCGGCCACAAAAGAGGAGAATCGACGACGAGATGCCCTGGACAAGACGGTTACGAAGCTCGAACGCATGGCTTTCTATAATGATGCAATGATGCCCCCCCCTCTCTCTCTTTACATATACATGTTCTATCATATTCTATCTGGGGATTTTCTCCGGTGGGGAGAAAAGCTTTGCTATTGAGAAGCGCCGCTAGCTGGCATGTGGTTTTTGAGAGCTGCTGGCATGTGGCTTTAGGGGCCGGGTGTTTGCCTGAGTCAAGCCACCAAAGACGAATAGAGGAGGACCCTGGTTGAGACACTCAGAAGATTTCTATTTAGAATTTTTTCTTTGTAGGTGTTTCCTTTTGGCTTGCAAGACACACTCTTCCATTTTAAAGGAGTTTGGTTGGGTAAGCCACATAACCAATCATCCTGCACAGAATCACAGAACTCAATCGCTGAAGGTTACCACTGAAGTTGAGCAGTTAGAGATTCGCTGATCACTGGAACAAAGTATCTCAAGGACTCCAGGACTTCCCCACTTTCACTTGAGGAAGAAGCTGACGAGCAAGAACAAAGGGCCAGTGAAGAAGAGCAAAAGAGCCAAGGCCGAGACGATCGACGATCGAGAACTGAAAACACACTTTGAAGCGTGCCAGGGCACCAAAGGAAAGAAAGGTGAGGCACTCGTTCCCAAAACTCTCAAAACTTCATCCAAAGTTAGGCCCTTATTTTGGGTAAAGTCACTTTGCGCTCAGGTCCAGTTGGCAGGAAAGAGCGCCGAAAGCGCATGAAGCGCGCCAAATAAAAGCCGTGTACTCCTTTGGCACCAATCATGTCTCACTTACTTTGCGAAAAAGAGACAATGCGCTTGAAGATGATACGTGGTCATGTGGTGTAAACATGATAGGGGGCAGAACATCCTTCCCAATGTTGTGTAGGTTGGCTGCCAAGTGTGTCGGGTGGGCAGATATGCATATAAGTGTTGCCAAGTTGTCATTACACTACCGATTGTCAGACATGTTGGTCAATCGAAATAGATTGAGTGTTGGTTCCAGAGTGCAAGAAAATGTTTAGGCTTTAGGCCCGGCACCAACAGTGTCCTTGGGACAATAGACACCGCAGGACCATCGGCTCCACAGACCCGCTGTTGTAGTCCCAAAAGAATTGATTGTGTTTTGAGTATATAGTGTTAGCTGTTGAATACGGATGATCAAACTCCGATTTGACCAGATTATGTCAGTTTGTCAGTTGGCCCGTTGCAAAAGTACAAACACAATATTTCACTCCTGTTTTGCAAGTTTGATCCGGTCAATGACCCCTTTCATGGCTCGCAAGTCACTCAGCATGAGGAAGAAATGGCATTGAACAAAATTGGCGCAATACCAAGTTCAAGAGAATCGTAGGAGACACAGCGCATACAGGTAGTGTTCAAGGCATGCACAACAACATCAAGACACAAATGAAACCTTTAACGAACTTCGCAAAGAGCACAGTGCATCAATGCTTGCAGGGTGTATGTTCCAGAACCAGGTCAGCGGCCTGCTATAGTTGACGAGTACACCTTGTTTGCACATCTTGTGCCTTTTAATCCATCCCGAAATTCCCAACCATTTCGGGCCAATAGATTGAAGGCAGGAGCTGGAAGCAGCGAATGTTGTCGCCAGGAACGCTTGGTTACCTAAATGGACAAGTTTTGGAGCGGACTCCTCAGCATTCTTTACGGAACATTGTACTGGATGAGCTGCAAGAAGGGCTTTAGTTGGGCTGCTAGGCTTGCCTCCTGTTCTGTGCAGCAATGTGTGAAACAGATCCACATGTATTCATGAAAGCAGTTAGATTTCTGCAGGTCGTGAAGAAACTTACTCCACTCTGTCTCCCAAGAGCAGCTACCGTGGGAAAAGCGGTGAGACAAGTTGCGACAACCTGGGGCTCTGGTTCTTTGGGTTCGTCCTTACCTCAGATAAGTTCTGAAGAGGCAAGGATCCATATTTTGTTGACTTGTTTGGAGAGGTATTCATGTTCTTCTGATTGACATTTTTTCATCAACGGAGTACATGAGTACACGTCGTGGTTCAATCGAACTTTGTTGCTTGAATTTGTTCTCTTTAGGTGCTTGGTGGAGCTCTCCTTATTTGTATCGTGGACTGCCCAGCGTTGGGAGTGCGTCATTTCTGGGTTAGAAATCGAACAGTTTAGATTTGTGCGATGAAATCGTATGAACCACAACCACTTGTCTAACACTTTTTTACACCTGTTTACAACATTTAATAGCATCTAAATATAACAAGGTTTGTCCGGCTCTTCTCATCTCCCTTGAGGTCTGTGCGCCTCGAGCAAATGGAGTGACTGCTCTTACGAAGGGATATGCCACGACCTGAAGGAAGATTGATGGTAATGGCTCCTGCAAAAGTAGTAAACCGATGTGCATGTGTGTAGTAGCTTACCTCAACCTACTAGCTGGCTTACTTGTAAGCTACCACCGCTGACCAACCTACACTCCCCCGCTCCGGTAAGAAAAGGCAAATTTGGAACGGTGGATGTCGCTGATTTTTGAACTTGTCAGGCGATCACACACTCCTTTGTAGGTCATGAGCTGAGCAGCTCTGTTTCTTTTAACTGCATTGAATTGGTGAGATTGCAACCGATCATGACTTGTCAACCATGACAACTCGTCAACTATTTTCGTCAGAGTTGGGTAGCCAGCTTGACGAGCATCACGGGCCACCAGATTGAGGTGATGACTTCTTCTCGCACTGGTCATTTTACGAGGGACAGGATCCAACCCACGGAACGGTCAGGGCCTTGTGGTCACACCAGCTATGACCAGTGGTACAATGGTTTTGGAGGCATGTCGACCTGTGAATAGGTGCAGTTCACCTCTTTTGAGGAGGCAAGCAGCGAAGGCCCAGGGTAGATAAACACGAAAACCTCGGATTATTTGAACTGCTTGAGTTGCCAAAAGTCTAGCCTAAGGAGGGATGTAGAGCTTTCTACTGAGACGGCCTTCGTTGCGGTGCTTGTGTGGAGAGGCTTGATCTCTGCCTCCTTTGATCGAATCTATATGGGTGTAGATGCGACGAAGGCTGGGCCGAGGGAAATCACCCTACCATCATGACCGAGCCATGACCTCATCACTGCATTCTGCGGAACCGCTGCAGTGCAGTGATGCAGGTCTTGAGTGGTTGGGAGGGGCGCAAAGCAGTGCCTTGGATTGCCTTGGGATCGGCTCTCACAACCTCACAAACCAAAAGTTTGTTTTCCACACTGTTGCATGCAGCTGTGTGCAATTTGGGGAAAGCTTGGAGTGGGTTGAGGTTCGGCTTGAGTTTGGAACTCAGGGCATTGGAGGGTTTTTTGGTGCAGTTTTTTTTTCCCCACATCACTATGTGGGGTTCTTTTTTTTCGCTCTGCACCCGCCGCTCCGCCGTCTTCCGCCGGGATTCTGCCGTCCTCCGCCTCCTCCGCCGCCGCCTCTTACACCACTCATCTTACACTTACACCAACTCATCTTACACTACTCATCTCACACCACCATCTTGCACCACTCATCTTACACCAACTCACCTTACACCACTCATCTATCTGACACCAACTCATCATACACCACTTATCTTACACCACTCATCTTACTCCACTCATCTTACATCTCACACCACTCATCTTACTCCACTCATCGTACACCAACTCATCTTACACCACTCATCTTACTCCGCTCATCTCACCACCATCTGACACCAACTCATTTTACACCACTTGTCGTACACCAACTCATCTTACACCACTCATTTTACTCCACTCATCTCACCACCATCTGACACCAACTCATCTTACACCACTCATCTCACACCACTCACCTTACATCACTCATCTTACACCACTCATCTGCCTGTCGTGCAGATTTCGTGGCAGGCGCGGTGCGCAGAGCCTTCAGGAGGACCGGATGGACGCGTGGTCGCCGCTGGGCCGCGGCTGCCTGTCGTGCAGATTTGCCGCAGGCGCAGCGCTCTGTGGGCCGTGGCTGCCTGTCGTGCGGATTTCGTGGCAGGCGCAGCACGCAGAGCCTTCAGGAGGACTGGATGGATGCGTGGTCGCCGCTTGGCCGCGGCTGCCTGTCGTGCAGATTTCGTGGCATGCACAGCACTTGGTGAACCTGGAGTTCATAGATTTCGTGGCAGGCGCAGTACACACCACACATCACACACCACTCATCACACACCACTCATCTTACACCACTCATCGCCCACCACTCATCTAACGCTACTCATCACACACCACTCATCACACACCACTCATCACACACCACTCATCTTACACCACTCATCAC